ATCAGACTGCCGTTCGTCACATTTACCGAACGACTTCTGGTAGTTATCATTGTTTAGCTATCTCACTTGGGCAGATCAGACTGCCGTTTGTTACATATAATAAATAAAATTAGAGAGCATTTATAAAATATTTATAAAGCAATTGTAAATGCCTAGTAGTATTGATTAATTAAATTTTAGAATTAAGAGCGAAAATGACAAATAAATTATAATTAAATTACAGATTGGATTAGAAATTACCCAAATTACTCATTTTAGTTCCTTATATTCAAAAAAAAAGCTTACAAATATCAACCTTTGATTTGGATCCGGAATTTAAATTTTATACTGAAAGGTTACTCGCTATATAAACTAAATTTATTTATTGTATAAATTACCTTTTTACCCATATATTATTGCTAAAAAGGTTATTATTGTTAACGTATAACTAGTACTGTACCTTGTAACTGCCGTGTACTACCTTGTAGTATAAAAGGCTGATTGACTATTCCTTCTAAAAAATCAGTCAACTCAGCTTTTATATAACGTGTTAGAATATAGAGGTTTTGCCACTATATTCTAGGATTCTCTTACTTGTTCAACATTTCTTCTAGACTGATTTGTCATTATGAAATGCATCAGAAGCTCATAAATTCAGTTTATTCCTTTCATAGTATAGTGCTTCTACACTCTGGATGGTTCTAGATACTTAACGTTTGTACATATAAAGACCTCTTCTCTCCTTTAGTTAGTTATTCCTTAAGCAAGCAAGTAAGCAAACACAATCAAAATAATACAATACAGTCTACTTCTATAGTGCAGAGTTCACTATAATAGTTGTTTCTCACAGTGCATAGTTCACTGTACTCTTCTGTCTTGAGAGCAAAGTTCTCTCTAAGATCTCTTTTATAACATTATTCTATTATCTTTGGTACTACGCTTCTTTCTTCAGCACTGCTGTCGTACTTGCTATCGCTTCCGCTCCGCTCTGCTACAAGTGCATAGTTTACTATAGCATCTTTATACTGGTGCTATTATTTGTTTGCTGCAATGCCCTAACTGGCCTATAATAATAACACTAGTATAGAGATATGTTACGATCTAATCAGAGAATCCTATGTAGGCTAGACTAGATGACCAATCAGGTAGAACCTGAAGAGAGGACCCGAGACGAAGGATTGGGTCCACGGGTCTAGTATATTGGGTCCAGGAAGGCTGGTATAAAAGAAGGCCTCCCCAGGCCTCTTGTTACCGGATCTTCAGCAATCAATAGCTATCACAACCTACCAGTACCTTTCGGCTACTACTCTGTTACTCTATTGTTCTATTCCAGCGATAATACTCCTGTGCTTGTAACGGTTCGTCACAAGATGCTATAGTAAACTATGCACTTGTAGCAGAGCGGAGCGGAAGCGGTAGGAAGTACGACAGCAGTGCTGAAGAAAGCAGCGTAGTACCAAGGATAATAGGGAGATGTTGTAAAAGAGGTCTTAGAGAAAACTCTGCTCTCAAGACAGAAGAGTACAGTGAACTATGCACTGTGAAAAACAACTATTATAGTGAACTCTGCACTATAGAAGTAGACTGTATTGTATTGCTTTGATTGTGTTTGCTTGCTTGCTTGCTTAAGAAGTAACTAACTAAAGAATAGAAGAGGTCTTTATATATACGAACGTTAAGTATCTAGAACCTTCCAGAGTGTAGGAGCTTCTGTAAGTTGATAGGAGTGCTTGTAAGAGCACTATACCATGAAAGGAATGAACTGAATCTATGAGCTTCTAGTACATTCCATGATGACAAATTAGTCTAGAAGGAATGCTGAACAAGTTAGAGAATCCTAGAATACAGTGGCAAAACCTCTATATTCTAGTACGTTCTGTGGAATCTGAGTAGACTGATTCTATAGAAGAAATAATTCAATCAGCCTTCTATACTACAAGGTAGTACAAGGCAGTTACAAAGCACAGTACTAGTTACACATTAACATTATTATAGGCCAGTTAGGGTATTGCAGCAAACAAGGTTCAATTATTAACGTATCTTATTAAAAGTATAGCTTTTTTTTAATATACTAATTTTGGTAATAAAATTCTAATTTTATTATTATATAACATGACGCTTCTACTTATAAATTAAATTTAACAAAGGCTTTTATAATCAAATACTTTAATGGTATTTATATTATCATACAGTCATTATATTTGCTAAATCTTGATTCAATTAAAAATGTCTAGTCCTGCAGAAGAAATTAAATTAAGCGCGAATATGTTATTAAACTAATAAAAAATACCTTCAAACCTATAATCGAAGATGTATCAACAGTTGTATTAAACAACTACTTATCGCACTTGATATATTCTATATTTAAAAAGCTACAAACAGTTATTAAAAGAATTAGTAAGTACACCAACTACTAACATTACAACCACGAAATAATATTCAGATTTTATAAGTTTTAATATAGGAAATTGACTAATTGTCCATAACTCAATTATTTTTATTCCTCTCCTCTCCTGTCATAGGTTAGCATTAGCTATATAGTGTACATTCTAAATTCTACCTTGCAAGCAGAACATTATCTCATCTTTTGTAGGTTTGGCCGTCTGGGCATATGCACCCCAGCCTGTCATATCTCCATACTTATATTTTTTTTTAATTCTAACCCCTGTTCTCCCCCCTTGTCGAAACCCCACAATATACCGAGCTAGCAATTACACCAGGGGTGAAGTGTACACCTCTACGTTCACTCGACAATACAAGTTCACGACCTAAATACTAACAGATCACGGACAGAGTAGCGCGTCGCTTGATGTACCACCATCCATTTTAATCTAGTTTCTAAAATACAGATGAACTCCCCAACGCGATCCGACCACCAACGTCGCCGTTGCGCAAACTCGGTAAAGATGCAGCGGGTAAACCCCGGAAACTCAATCCCAGGTAGCCTCCCCTTGGTGCTCATTTGGCAACCCTTCAGTCGTTGCATGAGATCGGGTATCCAGTGAGTAGGAGAGCTCCTTCATATTCCCAGTGCTGCTGCTGCATCTGAATGTACTGGACTCTGGGTATACTTTGATGATCAATATGGCACCGGGATAGGACGAAACCTAACAATAGAAGGTCAACCAACCATGCCGCTCTTCGCATTTAGGTCGGAGTGAGGAGAGACGTCGAAAGTGGTGTCTTGTTCCCGAGCATAAAAAAGCAGAATAGAAAGGATAGAACAATGAGTGGAAGTTGCTGATAAGAAAAGGAAAAGGATGTGCATATCGCCACAGCGATGTTGGGGTATCTCAATGCTCGTTGAAGAAAATGAAATAGAGGGCAAAGACCAAACGCCCAGCAAGCCAGTAAGTTGCCCCAGTGCAGTTGAGAAAGTATGAAAATCCCACATGAAATGGTTGACTTGCTGGCAAAATTTCTTAATATGCGCCGAGATTCCGCTTAACTCTGTCATGTTAAGAGTACCCGATGGTGGTAAAACCTGAAAATGGTGGTCAATGTTGATGATACCGCGATCTTCTCAGCGATGAGTGTCGCTGGGAAATAGACGTGCAACAATGATGATCGAGGATGATACCGACAAAACTCCTCGTCATTGTCTCTTTGGGCTCCATCACAGAAGCCTAAGCAGCCGTCAACTGCTTAAACCTGCCGTTGGGAACGGCTTGATAGCCATAATAGAGCACACGTTTGATGCTCTCCTCCACGGCTCTCATCTCCTTCTCCATGGCCTGCTTCAGAGTCATGTTGTCGTACTCCTCGCCAGTAGGGAAGCCGATCTCATGCCAGAGGAACCCAAAGTAACCGTTGCTGTCCATCTTGGTAGCCTTGTTGATAATCTCTGTCCTCTCGCTGACGGCCTTGACGTTGACAAAGCGAGTCGTCTCCTCGCGGATGATGGCAATGTACCACTCGAGGACGTCGAGCGGGACTCCTGGCTTGGGGCAAATCGACAGCTGATGGGTCCAGAGATCGGGGAATCGAGGTTGGTTGAACTCGCGCTGCTTCATCTCGTCCATGCCGGCGGTGAAGGCGATGTTGTCCTTTTGCAGAACGCTGAAGCCAGGGCATAGCATGGCTGTGTTGACTAGACGCTTGAGGAGACGTTGATCGAGAGCGATGTGGCTGTCGCGATTGTCATGGTGGATTGTGTTACGGAGCAGCTCAATGAGACGGATGGTGGCGTTGTATACGGCCCAGCGTTGGTGGACAGTGATGTAGTCTGACTTTTGCCAGGGCAGCTTCCTGATGGTGGAGATCATGCACTCGTAAGGGCGCTGAGGGCAATGTTTTAGGTATTGAGCCTGTGAACGCAGTGTCAGTCAGTGCTATTTGCTACTCGAAGGAAGGTAGGATATGGGTAACTTACGCGCTGAGGCATCTCAACAAGCTTGACCAACATAGCCATCTCCTCGGTCGTGACGAAGCCCTTGAAAGTGTTCCAGGGCTTGCCCTCAACTGGGGATTGGATCTCAGGCTCTGCGCCCCTCCAGACAACTCCGGCCGCCAAAGGAAAGAGGTCCTTCATCATACTGGCCTGGCCTGACAGCTCCACGTCAACAGGGCGATCAGCAATGCGAGGAGGACGACCTCTCTGCACGGCTTGGTTGAAGCGCTGGACAGCTTTGATAGCATCATCCTGGCTGAAGAACTCAACGTATGCTTCTTGCGTCTTGCCAGAGATACGCTCCATAATGACATGAACGGGCTCCTGGGGGTCGTTCAAGATCTTGGAGTTGCGACCAAGGAAGGCCTTGATCTCTTGGTGAGTAGTCATGTAAGGAATCTGTGGTAGAACCATTGGGTTAAAATCGGTCTTGCCATAGATAGCATGTACAAACTTACGTTTTTGATCTTGACAACTCCAGCATCCGAAGCAGTGGCTTGGGAGCAGCTCTCGATGAAAGGAAAGTTGTCCGGATGCAAAGCTACCTCCGCAGGAGGGAGGCCAGACGGGCCATTGGTGAGCCTGTTCAACTGCGCCGAGCGTGCAGCCCGCACTTCTGGAGGTGGGGGACCGGAAATGGGCATATGTGGTATAACCGCATAGTTTTCGTTCGGAGTCTCATAGCCAGAATGATGGTTAGGGATCCTGGCAATAGCATGATCATCGTTGCCCACCGCAGAGAACGGATCAATCACGGAGCTGGCAACCACACCGGCTTGAGTGCCGTTAGTGTTGTGAGTATAAGCAGTGCCAATCATGAAGGGAGGCGGGGGTTGGGCGGGCAGTGAATCTGCGCGGGGGGCAAAGTTACGTGGCTCGGTTTGGTTGTAAGGGTTCGTGGCGGGACTCTTGTTCGTGTGCGAAGGGGTCTGTGTAGCCTGAGACCGGGTCTTATCAGTCTGCGGGTCATTCGCGGTCTGGTTGTTCCCACTCATGGGAGTATCGGCGGTCTGCTGGCCACCCTGAGGCTGAACATTCGAGCCGGAACCTCCAACGACCGGGCCATAGGCATAGTAGAACTGGCCAGGAGCCAGCTGAGTAACACCTGCGAGGGGCTGAGCATGAAGCGGCTGTGCGAAGGCTAGAGGAACATTAGAACTATTAGTCGGGATTTGTGAACTATGGAGAAAGGGTGTCAGACCATTGGAGTCGGCGACCGAGGCCATTTGATGTTGGGAATAAGAATGGCCAATGGGCGCATATTGAACCGAATATCCAGCCTGACCAACCGGCGAACTAACACCAGGCTGGCCGCCAGGTCCGTTGGGCACAAAGCCCTGACCAGACTGGACTTGAGCAATGCCCATGTGCTGGTAAACTATACCTGCCTGCTGATTGTTGATGTTGTGATTGTTTGATGGCGCCCAAGCAGGCTGACCTCCCGCCATCACCTCGTTTGCTACATTAGGTGATATGCCGTTGCCCAGGTTTGGGATAGCTTGACCCGGTTGGGAGTGTTGCGCTGCTTGGGGATACTGAACCGCATAGTTGATCGGAGCTTGGCGGGCAAGAGAAGTAGCTCCAGTGGTAGCAGGAGTTCCTTGTTGACGATCTTGGGTATGGCCAGTGGTGAACCCGTTCTGTTTTCCTCTGTTATTTCCGTTGCTGCCATTTTGATCGAATGTACCAGCACGCTTTGTGATGGGGGTTAGTGAAACCATCAGGCTAACATACACCCGGACGTCTCTCCTGGGGTCATACCTTCTTATCCTTTCTGCGAATTTCTTTAGCAAAATTCGTGGTAGGAGCGCTTCCATTCTTCCTTTGCGTAACGCTAGCCTTGGGAGTGGCATCCATAGAGGTATCTTGAGCCATAACGGGTTGCGTAGACTGGACAGGCTGGGTAGGGAAATCATCTTCCGAGTCGTTATCCAACAGTGACACACCACCATGGCCCTCGTGATCCTCAGAATCGACAGACTGGATCGATGAGCTCACCATGTTGTGGCGGCCCTTTTCGAGCATCTTGGAAACGGCGTTCCGGGCCATGCCCGAAGGCTTGGGCGTCATGTGTTTGACGTCCTCCATCGTGGACTTTGCGCGGCGGTCTGGCTAAGATCTATGCAAGGACAAATGGTTAGCGGTAGGAAAGTAGGAGGGAACATGAGGAACATCTGAAGCGGATCTGATGGGGAGATGATCGGTTGACATACCAGTGGCGATACCTCTTAGTGCGCACAATACGATAGCAAGCCTTCTGTATATCTTTTACCGCAGGCGACGGGTCGAGGTAGCGATAGCAGGAAGTCGGCTGTTCGATTGCGCTCGGTTCGGTGCGCGGGGTTGATCGACTTGTGCAAGAGGATGCAGTACCTGGCGAGATGGCCTGGACGATGTAAGCAAACGAGCTTGTAGGGTCCAGTATCCAGCGCAAGTTATTCTGTCGGAGTGAGGCAAGTAAAGGTGCCAGTACAGGGTCGAGTGTCTCTGCCCGGGAGAAATTTATTGAGGTCGGTCTGATGGTGGAGGGAGGGAACGGCAGATGTGGAAAGGTTGAGGTGGGTAAAAGAAGTTGAGCACGAAAGCCTTGCGCAAACGTACCAGTGCCTGCCAGCTGCGTGGGCAAGAGGGGAGGTTTAGACAACAAATTCACCCGTCCCAGAAGTTCAGACGAAGGCCCTGGTGCAAGAGTGTCGAGGGTAGATACCAAGAATTGTCCGGAAACCTGGGGATGCAACCGGATCTGAGCAGTCTTACCTTCACCTCCAGCGGCAGAACCAAGATCACCAGAAATCTCGATGGTGACAGCAGATAGAATTCCAACAGTCGGTGACACTCGTTATCCAGGAAGATCAAGGTCGCCGACGACGGACCTGTTCTTGGTGTAAGATAGAAGTTGAAAAAGAAAAGTCACCGGCCAGTGGGACAAAACTTTGACATGGAAGTCGCCTAATACTTCCAACCGATCGACGGAGGTAAGCCTTGGCTGTTTGTCGAGTGAATGGGAAGTGACCTGTGTCTGCCTATTGTCTTGCCTGTCATACAAGTCACAATAAGGTTGAAGCGAGTAGCTAACACTAGGCTGGAACTAGGTTGATTCCTATTGTGATTTGGTTCATCAGTTTACACTTGTCCAGTTGTTGTTTGTCCAAGGATCTCATACCTTACCGCACAGCCGCCTGTTGCCCTGTAGATGAAAGGTAGGTGAGCCAAACTCTATTCCTTCCTTAAGATTCCTTTCTAACGGAAGGCCTTTGTCACTCACTAACCATCAATATTAATCGCTTCATATCAGAGGCCCAGGGATGAGTTGCGCTCTCCTCAGGCACTGCATACCAGTATACCTTATGTTTCGGATGCCATTGAGGAAATGTGAACTCTATGGTCCTTGTAGCGGCTTTGAGCTGGTTGATTGTCCATCTGTTTTGCGTGCCATAGTCGAGAGTTTGGCCAGTGTTGACGCATGTTATGATGTTGCAACCGCAAGGATATGTCTGCCATGCGGTTTCTATCGCGCATTCCAAGTCCAGAGCAACTAACAACTGTCCCCACCCCAAACAGAGGCAAAAGCAAACGGAATACAAGAGCTGGGTGTTATGGGCTTGGGCGAGATTATCACAACGCCGAATTGAGTTGGCACTTCAAAGCGTAGGTCAGGGAGGGGATAGCGGGAGATGTGTGATAGTAAGACTGAATTATGAAAAAGGTACCCCCGAGGACCGTATAGATTATGCACAAGTTGGCAACTCCAACTGCGGAGGTGTATCGGTAGAGGGTTATTATTTGGTGCCATGGCATCTGGGTGCGCTCGTAATCCCATTGTGTTTCTCTTTGCCCTCCCACAAGCGCCATCCACATGCGTCCAACATGACTTCACGTTGGGGATATCCCGGAATAGGTTTCCATACGGACCCGGAAAGTAAAAACGCAACGCCAATGATCTCCAGAATACTCGCTTAGTCGAACTGTTGGGGGAAAGCTTGTTAGCATGGCCAGTCACCGTGAGAGCTGCTCTAAAAGGGCTTACTGGTGTCAAGAAAGACTCGGCAACGAAACGCGCCCGCGCATTTAGCTAGAGAATGTGTCAGTTCTGTACTATCAATACTTGTGGCAAAGAATGGACATACGAATAGCTTCATTTCAGAAATCTCCTTGTCAACCTCCTCCATGAACTGGATGATGAAGTCCACCAGCTTATGCTTGAGCATCTCCTCGGTATGGAAGTTGGTAATCAGGAAAGAGATATCATATCCCTACGCAGCTGTCAGTTCCCTGTAGTCCCGAGCATGGCGGTAGTTGGGTCGTATATCCTAGACATCGCGCACCTTGATGGGCTTCCTTCTGAGAATGAAGAAGGACTCGGCTCTTTGTGTCAAGAACCTGGTGAACTTGTGTACCAGGATGTGCTCGATCTCGTCGGCCTGCTTGATCTTGATGCTGATGCGTATGCTGTTGATGCTGGGCTCGATAAGGACTCGCTCGTTCTCGTTGCGCGCAATCGTCAGGGGTGTAAGCAGCACTTCAGGGGAAGTCCGGGCTTCGACCTCGGGGACATTGTGTCGTTCGGCGGTCTGGGAAGCAAAGTTGGAGAGACAGAGGGCGGCCGTCAGACTGCTCCGGACAGCCTGGAGGTAGGGACGTAGTGATTGCGACTGTTGGTTGGGTGTATGTGAGCAGAGAGATCACCAAGAAGCTGGGAATAGCCGGGACAGCGGTCAAGTCAGCGTCGATGCGCGTGGGCGCGACATGCTTACCATTGTGCTTTCCCTAGCTGCGCGACCAGTTCCCCTCTGATGCTGGGTGATTTCTGGCCAGCAAAAGCAATGCTGTACAGGTGGTCCGTGTCGTGGGGTTGTGTTGTGGTGGTGAAGCTCGTCGCTGTCGTCGCCGATGTTGGTTGGATGTTGGGTGTTGGACCAGTCCGGTATGGCTTCCACTTCGACGTTCCCGCAAGGTGACGCTTGACATGGCCCGCCCAGATGTAGCTGGAGGCGCTCCCGTTCGGTACCTGTAACGTAGCTGCTTTCACTGGGCCCAGTTGCTGCACCAACAAGGCCAGGCTTACTGGGCGGACTCGGCCACCACTGCCAGGGCAGGCAACCGGCCAGGGCAGGCCATCCACATTGCTCAGCTCCAGCCTAGAGACGGGCTTGGTGGGTAGGTGGAGACAGCCAGGTGGATTGAGTGGGTAAAGTGGGGTAGATTCAAACAATCTGAGTGGGTCGCAGTACGGCTGCCCAGGATGCTGTGGCACTTTTAAGGTGGATTGTTGCACTTTTCCCGCTAGATGCATAAACTAAGCTCGTCCAGGCACAGCCAGCTACGCAATCCCGCCCCTGCGCCAGCCCCGCGTTGTCCCGTCTTCTTTCGCCTTTGACAACTTTCAAATCACCAAGCTCGTAGAAGCTGCCTCAATCTTTGCCTTCCAGTACATCAAAACCAAAGCCGCTGAAGAGGAATTCCGTAACTTCTTCTGTCTTCATTTTCTCGCATCTCCTCGTTTGAATACAGCTTTCACAAGCATCACACCCCATCCAAGATCGTCGTGACAACAAAGCAATCATGTCGACTATTAGCGGTATGCTTCTTATCCTTTCCTCTTTTCATTGCACAAACACGCGACTTTCCCCTTGGGCTAAATGACTAACTCTATACAGTGGTGGTGAAACACCAAGGAAAGAAATACGACGTCGATGTCGATACCTCCGCGACCGGTGAAGTCTTCAAGTACCAGCTCTACAGTCTGACTGGTGTCGAGCCCGACCGGCAAAAGGTGCTCCTCAAGGGCAGTCAACTCAAAGATGATACCGATATGAGCAAGGTGGGCCTGAAGCCCGGCCAGATGATCATGATGATGGGAACCCCAGGTGAGGGTGGAGGTGCAATCGCTCGACCAACCGAGAAAGTCAAGTTCATCGAGGACATGACCGAGGCCGAAGCGGCACAACAAGCGGGAGCGACTCCGGCCGGTCTCCAGAATTACGGCAACACCTGCTACCTCAACTCGACACTCCAAGTCCTCCGCTCCATCCCCGAGCTTAGCGACGCTCTCAAGTCCTACAAGGGTGAACAGTCCATGTCGGATCCTACGACGCAGCTCAGGAATCTCTACGATATGATGTCGAAAACACAAGAAGGCATTCCTCCGCTCGGTTTTCTGCATGCTCTTCGTGTCACTTACCCCCCAGTTTGCCGAGAGAGAAAGAGACGGCCAGGGTTTTGCCCAGCAGGATGCGGAAGAAGCTTGGTCACAAATCCTAACCCAGCTCAAGCAAAAGCTCAAGATTCCCGAGGGTGACGCCGCCAAAGACGCATCCTTCATCGACAAGTACATGGGCCTCGAACTCACCAGCGTTCTCGAGTGCGATGAACCTGGCGCCAAGGAGGCCGGCGAGGAACCAAAGACAACAAAGGACCGTCTCCTTAAGCTCAACTGCCATATCGACGGTCAGACCAATCATCTCAGGGATGGAATCGTTAACGGTTTGGTGGAGAAGCTCGAGAAGAAGTCGGAGGTTCTGGATAGGGAAGCGACATACACTAAGCGTTCCCAGATCTCACGGCTACCCAAGTATCTGACCGTGCACTTCATGCGGTTCTTCTGGAAGCGTGAGGTTCAGAAGAAGGCCAAGATTATGCGCAAGGTTACTTTCCCATTCGAGCTTGATGTGGTCGAGTTCTGCACGGATGACCTTAGGAAGGCTCTCATTCCTGTCAGGGACAAGGTCCGCGAGGTGCGCAAGGAGGAGCACGATATTGAAAGGGCACGCAAGCGCAGAAAGATGAACCCTATTGACGGCGAGAACGCTCAAGGATCCACGCCATCATCATCATCCAAGGACAAGAAGAAGGACGAGAAGAAGCCTTCTGGCGGTGACGTGGAGATGACCACAGAGGAGACCTTCAAGACCGACGCTGAGTTTGAGGCCGAGAAGGAAGCTGAGGTGCTCGCTGCCAAGAAGGAGCTCTACTCCTTGATCAACCAGGATCTGCTCAAGGACGAAGGTGCCAACCAGTCTGGCTTGTATGAACTTCGCGGTGTCATCACCCATCAGGGTGCCAGCGCCGACAGCGGACATTACACGGCCTACGTCAAGAAGACGGGGATCAAGGACCCCGTCACTGGCAAGATCGGTGAGGAGGACGGCAAGTGGTGGTGGTTCAACGATGACAAGGTTTCTGAGGTGGAGGCGGAAAAGATCACTGCTCTGGCTGGTGGTGGAGAGTCGCACTCGGCCTTGGTCTTGCTCTACCGCGCGATTCCTCTTCCCAGTGCCGACGGAACCCAGTAAGGGTAGGGCATATCACAGCCTTTGCTTATTCGGCGCAAGGGAAGTTGGAATTAGGGTTTTATGCTAGCGAGACGGAGTTGGCAATAATGGTTTCTAAGTAGTTTGGGCTATGGCCATTCCTTCATGAATATGATAGATATCGGTCTTCCTGTGTTTATATGCATTGCTGTCCACATGCGAGATGTGATAGATTGGCTTGACTGCTATCAAGAGCAGACCATTATGAGGTTGCTTCCTACATACCCGCGATACCTATTTCAATCTGACTTGATGCAAAGAACCCCCTCTTGATCTGCCTGGGCATGAGACGTTTCTATCCAGTGCTGTTTTCCCTTGGACTTTGGTGCCGTCCCGTCGACGGGAAACCCGGGTCCTCCTGTTGATATCGAGCCCGGCGTTGTGTTGTAGGGCAGATATGCCCATTGGCCACTATGCTCGGGTCGGTACTGTTTTTCCCTGGTTGAGTTTTTGCATTCCGTTCCTTGTCCTCGTAACAATATCCAAATCCCACAATGTTCAACTTTTAAACCGTCGTTTTACTGATGAGGACTTCGAAGCCTTATCGCGCCCGGTTCCTCGACATTATCCGTCCGGGCATCAACACATAATGGCCGAGGTCCTTTCGCTCACTCCGTCCTTCCTTCCCAAGGACTGGCCCATCCAGGATCAGGCAGGTCATCAAGATGCCCCTGGCCCACACAGCATGTTCACGAGGCTCACTCCGATGCCTCTATATCCTCTCAGTTCGACATTGTCGTCCGCTTCGACTCGCCCCCTCCATGCATGCCGACATTCGTATCTCTAACCCACGCGGACTGGGTGAGTAGGAGGCATCGAACTGGAGCGGCGATACCCCCAACGCCCCCTTTCAAGCCCACCAGCGAGCAAGCCAGCCAGCTTCACCAACCCAACCACCCACCCCATACACGCACACGCCCGGTCATTCGTCTCGTGTTGCCTGATTTTTGTAGTCTCCAAAAAGAAACGGAAACGTCATCACTACCTACCTCCTCGGCATAGCCACCTTCCCACTCTTCTCTTTCTCCTCTTTCTCCTTCTCCAGCCTCATGCGCTCCCGCACATCAGCCAGCTTCTGCTCGATCTCGATCTTGGTCTTGAACAGCTGGGCGCGGCGGTTGGCGAGGATCTCGATTTTATCTTCGGCTGTGGCTTCTTGGACTTTTTGCTTTTCCTGTTTTTGTGAAGACGTAGTTAGCTTTTGGTCATCGGGTGGGGTATGGGTAGGTAGGAGGCGTTGGTGGAAAGAAATAATAAAACAGAACAGAACAGAGCATACCTCTTCCCACTCCTTCTGCGTCTTAAGCCCCGCGCCGTAAATCGTTCCCGTCACGGTTATGGCTGTGAAAGCCAGTGTCCAGACGGCGGCTTTCCATTTGGAAAAGGGAGAACGAGGGGGTTCTTGCTGTGGTGGTAGTTCTTCTCCCGTTTCTTGTTGCCCTTCTTGTCCTCCTCCTGCTCCTCCTGGCGGCGGTGGTGTCCCTGATGTCTCTCCTCTGATCAACTCGTTTGTTAGTGGGGCCGGGTGTGGTGATGGCGATGACACTGGAGCCGGTTTGGTTGTTGGCGGAGGTGGAGGCGCCTGTGACAAGGGGCTCGTTGAAGCTTTCACTCCTGTCGCTTTTGCTGGCTTCGCTGTTGCTGCTGTTGGCGATGTCGGCGCTGGTCGCAATGGTGAGGGTGTCGGGACGGTCGCTTTCCCTTTTGCTGTCTTTGCGGCCTTGTTCAGCGCTGCAGCGGCAGCTCTCTTTGCTGGTCCAGCGGCCATGGTGGAGGATGTGTCACTTGGGAATTCGGAGGTGCGTAGTTTCAGAGATTGGCTCGGTGTTGCATCGAATTGCTTTCTTGAGATTTATGTTGAAGGGTAAAAAGAGGTGGGATGTCGCATAGCTTGCTCTAGCTTCGTCTAGCTCGTCCATTCGGCCCAAGACCCGACCTCGGTTTAGATCGACTGATTACCCCGCCTACCCGGTATTCCAAGCTTAGTTCATGGCATAGATAGTCCAATGACAATATCGTCTGTCGAGACTGCTTTGTGTGCCAGGACTTCAAGATCATGGTCACGTATTGAGCTTGGAATGACATTTTGTAAGTGAATCTACACAAGGGTTCTCGTCTTAAAATCAATTGGGGTAACCCTTGTCAGGCACAGAACTCCAAGCAGGTGGTCCCCTCTGTGCAGATGCGTTCAGATGAGCACATGCAGCTGGCAGCTCTAGCAGCTAGGGAGTTACTGCTGGTTATTGAACATTCGGGAGATCTTGGGGAAGAGTAGTAGAAGTAAATCAATGTATCTGTCTCGATTCCTTATATTGACACTCTTCCGTCTTTTGTCATCTTTGATGTCTCCGTCTCATACTCAAATTCCTCTATGGATGCAGTTTGACTTTGCCAAGACCAGCTGCCCAAAGCTTTAGCGCGTCAAACGCGAAGGTTAGGCAAATTGATCAATTGGTAGAACGCTATCTCCCAGCATCTAACTCATCCACCACCTAGTGTACTAGTACCCCGCTCCCCAATTGCACCCATCTTTGCCTCACCAGCAAAATCACTATTACCGCAATCAAGACTTGCTTAATCTCTTGTGTGCATTCAATTCCTCGGTTCCTGGAGTTGAAATTGCGTACTGTATTCGAGACTTTTCAGTCGCATTGAATCCTTGAAATTTGCTTCCAGGGTGCCTACAGACTGCACCCAGTCGCGTACCTCGAAACCCTGTCCAGCATCTCCACGCGCGGTAAGTGCTGTTAGCGTCCTATCTTAGTAGCATTCGGAGCGCCTTTCTCCGCTAACCGCTTCGCAGTGGAATTCATGTATATACTCTACGATGTCAGCTACTCCTGTCATCGAATCCCTTGGGCCTGTCCAGAGGCGCGAAAGCCTCAGGATCATCTCGGCACAGCAAGCTCACGATGCCCCGGCCAACTTTGAGGAGAATCTCGGAAAAAACCTAACGATCCTACGAGATGAAACTGTAAACAAAACCTCCGAACCTTCACATATTATGCATACTTGAATGCTGACATCTTTCTCAGGCTGCCAGGAATGTTGTTCTCCGGAAACAACACGGATCCATAAATTTGACTGCGCAGCAATCTGGAAGCAGTATTCCTACAGCTCACCGGTAACCGTGCCGCCGCGTCGGATTGTCAGCTCTGTCAGAACGGTACAGGACCGTTTATCAGTTGTGTTCAGCATCCAAAGATCGGCGATGGCTCATGCGCAAATTGCCTGTATAAGCGTCAAGGAAGCAGCTGTACGCATCGGCTCTCAACGGAGACCGACAGTGACGATATCCCACTCAGTCGACTCGGTCAGCATCGAAAGCGGCAGACCGACCTAGCGGCACCATTCCCTAAGAAAACATTGAGAATCGGAGAAGGACTATCGGCACAGGATCAATCACCCATCTCGAGGCTCCCTTCCCTTTGCCCGCTCATCAACAGCTTCTACAGCCTCTCCAGGGACCTACGCCTGCGCCCACGCCTCCCACAGTAACAAGTCACACTCAAGTCGGCGGGCCCGGTCCACGGCCCCGGTACGGTGCTTGGTTCGGCCTCAGACCACTGGCTGAACAGTGTAGCCTTCAGCAAGTACGCTTCCCGGCTCCTACTCAAAACCACTTTGGAAGCAATGCCTATCCAACTAGCTTGAGACAGTCACTCGAGAATAGTACATATAGTCTTCCCCAAGCTTCCGCGGCCATGATAGGCAACGTTTATACCGGTAGCCCCGCACCCATAGCCATGAGACGCAACGATTACGCTCCCAGCCCAGCGCCCTTCCAAGGAAACGTCAACGACAACCTCGATCACGATACCACCAAGTCGATGCTTTCGTACCTTCCGAGGAATGTTTCCCCTGAGGTGTTGCGCTCCATTGCGCAGTACCACCAAGATCTCGCCGACGACCTCCGCATGGAGGCCAAGAGGCTCGAGAAGGAGATGCGGCAGGAGCGCGAGCGCGAGTGGGGAGCCCAGGCCGCGAGGCAGGCGAGATATGAGTGAGTGTCCGGAACAGTCCGTCCACCACTTGGTGTTCTTTGCTCTAGAGAGTTCGAAGAGGTCTCCATTTTTCTTTGATTATTTGCTTTTCCCCCCTCCTTTAGAGGCTGGTTTGCATTAGCGGGCGCGGATAAGGTATACCCAATGGCGTTCTTGAAGGGAGGCTATTGTTTTGAGATCTGGAAGGCGTTTTGAAAGATTTGTTGTATGAATGTATGTCAACAATAGTACGGGGCTATTGATGATAAGCTCATTTTTGTTTTTGGAAACCCAGAAGCTGTTTGGTGGTAAGTACTCCAAGACACTTCGTCTTTGTGGGCGAAATATGGAGTGACTGGGCGTTTGGTCAATGGTTATAACTACCAAATGAACCAAGGGACATGGTTTGCTGTTTTGTTGCTTGAAGTAATTTGATAATGTTGTAATACGTTTGTGGCAGTCATCGCTCGCTTCCCATCAAGTCGCGTGTGTTCTAGATTCTTCGGACCAGGGCAACAAATCTACTTGTTTCATTCTCAAACTCCACTGATTCAGTCTTGTTCACGTGGGTTGTCTTATTGTATCATCCTCTACATTGTAAGTTCGTTTCCATGAACCTTTGAACGAGAATCTAAAGGGCATGTTACGATGTCTTTCTCCGGTGAAGCGACAAGGAACCCCAAACCCATGCAAACCCTTACCGCAAGCGCCTACTACTAACACCGACTTAGTTACCTTATATACAGCAGTGTTTCAACCCGTGAGACATATTTCAGTTCTAGTGCGCGGCAGGTTTCCTTCCAGAAGTCCAAAACCCTTCTCACCTTTGTCAATATTGCCAGCACTTAAGCACACCCAACAACAACAACAACAACAACAACAACAACAACAACAACAACAACAACAACAACAACACTGCACGAGCTTTAGGTCAGACAAATGGCATATGGCAATGGCTTCACTCAATGGGGATCCTGCGGGAGAAATTGCTCAGGAAGACGGCGCCATTATTCCGCGCATTGGAAATCTGGCAGAAGAAATTGCTAGAACGTTGCCGCCAGCCATCTGGCCTGCTAAGAGAAAGCGTGACAAGATGGATATCCAAGCCAATCTTCCGAACCCCTTACCGATAGCCACGGCAAAGGACAACGATGATAATTCCCAGTCCTTGAAGAACTGGAAGCCATCAGACGGCATTATCACACGCATTGACCTTGAGGAAATCTATAGCAGGCTTGGTTCAAATACTCCGCTGCTTAACCAGCTGAGAGGACATAAGGTACGAGAATAAAACGAACGAAGTGAATCGTGCAATCCGGAGCCAAGTAATCTGACGTTGATAAAGGTGGCATACGATTTTGCTTTACGGAAAACCCAAAGCTCGATAGACCGTTCCTACGATTATCAGCTTGAAGCAGCTTATATTCAACTTAGAGGCGAACCAGCCAGACCCCCGTGTGAGAAATGTCTAGCTGGCGAAGGTCCTTTCGAGCTTTGCGTCCGCGGTCCTGCCAAGACCGGAAGGTGTGGGAACTGCCATCATCGCAACCCCAGAGCTCGTTGCCTTTTTCTAAAAGCCGGAAAGGAGAATGATGATCTTTCTTCACGAAACCCACAAAACAGCCAAGCAGCATTGAGGAGGGGCGCTACCTCCACGTCTGGTAAAGGAAATGAAGGAACCAACGGCGAGAACAAGTCGGCCGCCCCGACCGTTGAGGTTGTCAGTAAGCCCTCGCAGCACGCAGACGTTACCGAATCACCGTCGGATTTGCAGTTTGAAGCCAGGATGGAAGTAGAACCTGAACAAACCTCAAGACACCCTCTGCCCCAGACAACTCCTCAGCCACCTGCACCACCTCCTCCTCCATTCGCACCGGTAGCAAATCCGGAGCCGGAGCCGGTTCATCCGGTGGGCGGACGGCAACTAAGAACACGACCGCCACGGCTGCCACCCAATGACCAAAGACCGCGGCAAACACGACAGAACCGGAATACCACAGCCACGGATCCTGTCCTGGCTGGCTCAAATCAGCAACCACAGGCTCGGCACGGGAGTTCTGCAACCAACACCAATCCTCCCGCCAATCCACCGAACCCTCCATCTCTCACACCAGGTATCGACACGCCGCTCAGCCCTCGATCCGAAACATCGACCCCGGCTGTGCAATCACCACGATCGGTGGGAGGATACCAACCACAATTCCCTGCTGCCGTAGCTTCAGCTGTCAGCGCACAGATTTTCCGTGGACAACGCGATCATACGGCCCCCCGTAACAGGGACACAGCCCAGACCAGAGCAACGGACATGAACACAAACAGAGAAAGGGAAAGAAACAGTGATAGAGACAGGGAGAGGAATGGAGAAAGAGAGAGGGATAGAGAAAAGGACGTAAACAGAGAAAAGGACAGGGACCGAGATACAGACAGGGAGAGGACACCCATCACCAGCAGCGACCGCTCTTCCCCTCCCAGCAGTCCCGACGCCTGTTCTCCCAAGTCCATCCTCGACTGTCTTCATCGCAACACCCCAGTGGAAGTCTTGCGTTGTCTTATGGAATATCACCAGAACCAAGCGGATGAAATGGTCCTCGAGTGTGAGAAAATAGAGAAGAGCAGGGCGAGGAGGGTGCTGTGGCATCCTGGACGTGAAGAAGAGGGCCGAGATAACAAGGGCAGGAACAGGGACAGAGATAGAGGAGGGTTTGGCAGTGGTGCTGGTGCCATTGGCGGCGACACCGATGATTGTTCTACTATTCGTGCATGTATCGGCCCGGGCCAAACTCCTCTGGAAACGATGCAACACCTTTCATTGCATTACCAGTATCAGGCGAATAAGCTTAGGCTTGAGATGAAGAGGATTGAACTGGATGAGAAGGAAATGAGGAGACAACGACAGCGGGAGCGGCAGCGGCAGCGGGAAAGAGGTGGTGCTGGTTGGGGAGGAAGAGAAAATGATGCTCGCTGATTGGAATTTGGGGGTCGATTTGTTACATGATGCTTTGAAGATGATAGTAAGTTCAACTGATGAAGACGGGTGGTGGTGCTCGTTGGGCTGTCATCACAGATCTGTTTGTATCTCGAGTCGGTCTGATGAAATGGACAAAACTGCAAGGGAAAATAGACAGGTATGCTCGACGGAAACATGTTGAGCAGTGAATAATTACTTTTCTTCGTTTGACGGAAATCGCTAGCAAGTTACGAGCATACTGTAAAATGGAAGATTCGTGGAAGTATCTGTTGGCGGTCCCATTCATGACGGAGGGTTAACCGATGACAGTTTCGTACGCAACGGTATGTAAGGTAGCGAATAACCCATGTATCATTACACGTTAGCCATGCATGCTGCGTATTGTAACAATTGCACGCCCTGGAAACTTTGCGTGTACCCGAGCGTTCGTGTCCCGCTTCCACGGGCCGCGCTCGCTGCACACGAATGTTCTCGTGGCGTTCATGGAGCGGGCCGCTTTAGCGTCCTTTCTCGGTGGGACGGGACTGCTGGGACTGCGCCCGTGCTCCCTGCCCGCGAAAAGTTCCCCGTTACTGTCCGTTACCGTTTACGTAACTTGCACTTCTTCCCGGCGAAGTGGATCACCAGACTTCTTCCACCCGTCGTTTCAACAACTGCACCTCCTTGCACTCGCTCGAATACCTACTGATGTTGAGCAAAAGTGATGATGTTCGTAATGTCCTTATCAACACAATCACCAGCTGAAAATTCCCGGTGCCCACTGGCGCAGTGCTGCTCGGGATGGTTCCCCTTCGTCGTTTTAGGCTGTCAAGAAATTACCAGATCGGCAAAGACCGATGCTGCGATGTCATTGGCAGAAATGATGGCGTTCCATTTCCGGTGATCTGGAACCGAGTGACGGCAACGACTGGGGAACATGGGAGCGGATGATGCGGATTGGTGTCTTCGTGCCCTGATTTATGATTTATTGCCAACTTTGTCAACCATAGCGAGGGACAGCCAACGGAACACATGAAAATACCACCATTAAGAGTCACGATATCGAAAGATAAAATTCCAAAAGGAACTGTTCTGTGGTCAAAAGGCTTTATTTCAGGGTACTCTACCTCATATCTTTCCAGTGAAACGCCCCTCCACCCCGGCTGTTCCGGCAGTTTCATTGTTGAGCAACGTTTCACTTATCCTCTGTTCACATCACTTCTCAAGCCATCCTGCAACTTGAGTCCCATCGGCGACATTCAGGGTCAAAAAAACACCAAGTCAAATTTAATCTCCACCTTCGGCAAACCTCAAAACTCGGAAAGGTTTCAAGATGGCAACACCCCGGGTCTTCATCATTCGGCACGGTGAAACGGAATGGTCACTCGATGGTCGTCACACGGGATCGACCGACATTCCGCTGACAGCGAATGGAGAGAAGCGCGTCAAGGCAACGGGAAAAGCGCTTATAGGTGCTGACCGCCTCATTGTCCCCAAGAAGCTGGCTCATGTGTGAGTGATCTTCCCCCTCGTTTTCCGTTTCTTTTTTTGTATGTGATACAGAGGTACTCTTTGCCCGATCGACTCGGTTCCCTTCGGCGTTTACTGCATGAAAAGTTGTAGTCTTTGGAAAGACTACACGGAGCGTGCATGTAGCCAAGGTGTAAAAATGAGTGATGGTGTAGCCAGCCAGCCCGCAGTCTTGTATTCTTCAGCTGACTCTGTCTGTGGCGGTCGGTGTTAAAACACAACACCTCGGAAGCATACACTGCCCAGCATACGAGCTAACATCAAGTCCACAGATACGTATCTCCCCGCAAAAGAGCCCAGCGCACCTTTGAGCTTCTAAGCCTAGGTTTCCAAGGTCCATTGCCATGGGGGCATCATGGCGAATGCGAGTCCAAGGCTGTTCCCTGTGATGCCAAGGTTGAAGTTACCGAGGACATCCGGGAGTGGGATTATGGTGACTACGAGGGTATCACTAGCCCACAGATTAGGGAGAAGAGGAAAGAGCAGGGCCTCGATCCTAAGTGGGATATTTGGACCGATGGATGTCCTGGAGGAGAGTGAGTGCCCCCTTCAATTTTCGTGCTTGAGCATGCGTCTCGTTTATACGTCTTTGAAACCTGGTTGCTGATCACAGAAATATCTTTGTGTGGCTACAGGAGCCCCGCAGAGGTCAATGAGCGCTGCGACCGTCTCATCAAAGACATTCGTGAGAGGTTTCACGCTCCCGCTCTGAACAGGGCCAAGGGAGATCCCGATGCAGATTGTGCGGATGTGTTGATTGTTGCCCATGGACACATCCTTCGAGCCTTTGCGCAGCGATGGACTGGGTTGTCTTTGCATGAGGGACCTTCGTTTTTGCTCGAAGCTGGCGGTGTCGGCACTTTGAGGTGAGTGCTATCTGTCCATTGACACCTCACCTTATTACAATTTCAGGGAAGCTAACAGGATTGGTTTCGAAGCTATGAGCATCACAATATTAAAGAACCTGCCATCCTTTTGGGCAGTGCTTTCCATGTTAATTTTGAGGGTAAGTCTTTCTTCTGGTGATGGAGCGGATGGCCGAAGCTTGGCTCATTGGAAAGCCATGACATCCTGGTCTCTTAAGTTTTGACAACTCGACCTATTCTTTATTGACACTGCATCTAGATGATGAGAAACTGGAAAAGCTGGAAAAGGTCTAAACTGTGGTTGGACTTCACGGAGAGGAGCACGCTGAGACATTGAGGTGTTCTCGGCACTGTTGGGTGGGGTTATATTGCAATGGGTATATAAGGGCTACATCCAAGATCCACCTTCAACAATCAGCTACGGTGGATGTCCACATCCACAAATCTTCCGTAGTATAGTGGTCAGTATGTGAGCTTGTCAAGCTTGAACATCAGTTCGATTCGCTCGAGACCCGGGTTCAATTCCCGGCGGGAGAGACCTTCTTTTTATCTTTTTTGAGATTTCACCTGGCCCATTGTCCGTATTTTGGTATGAGCAGGCACTTTGTTCTATTTGTATGTTGCCTTTTTTTTTGGCTCTAGGTTCCTTCCCGTGATAGTATCGGCATGGCACTTCCACCAGCTATCACTTGGTTGGTGTGCATGACTCGGCCGTTGTCTTCAATTTAGATCTTCAATTTAGATCTTCAATTTAGATCTGTCCAAGCACTTCAGACTTTTTATCATTACCCGTCAACATCAACACTGAACCCTCTCTAGGAAGTTTACACATTCAAAACTCGACTGTTAGCCGATTCAGTTTAGATCTTCAGCACCTGAACCCTTCTTCTAGGCTCAGTATCCGACACAATCCCTATCATACATTCTCTTGAATATGGTGTTCCCAAGATTGACCCTTCCTTCTCTCAGTCCTTGGTTCCGCGCGCAAGGAAGACCTCTCTACGGACCTCCTCGGGCCTCTCTTCAGTAGCTTTGTTGAAGGCAACTCCGATAGTCTCCAATGTGAAGTCCTTTCCGGCGCCAGCATCTTCGAAGATCTTCTTGATCTGTTCCTCGGAGAAGCCATGGTGTGTGATCGTGTGCGAAGCAGCGTGATGTTCCTGTGTTCACATCGATTAGCTTCCCACTGATTATCATGTCACTACATCTCATATGCATCTATGATTGCCCAATGGTAACTGCAGGGAAGTCAAGGAAGGAAAGACGTACATCAGCAACTTTGCCATGAGGCAGAAAGTCCAAGATCAGAAGAACACCACCAGGCCGGAGCCGTTCAACTAGCCTCTTTGCAGCAAGAGCGGGATCGTCAAAGTGATGGAAGCCCAATCCAACGACGGCAATGTCAAAAAGTTGAAAGTCGAAGCTGGAAAACTCCCTGGGATCGGGATCGTTCGGGTCTAAGAGGTTGCCTTGATAGGCATACATTTCGTCGCGAGCGAGACCCTGTCGGTGCTTGAAGATTAGTTCTCCATTACTCGTACATGGTGACATGGTGGATGCAGGAGGAGAAGCAAGACACGTACCTGGTTCTCAGCTCTGGCATTGTAGTGAGCGACCATGTTCTCTGAGAGATCGATACCAACGCATTGTGTGGTGTAAGGCGCTAGAGCCTAGGATATTGTTAGTCGTTGACACGATGGTGATATCATCATAGCAGAGTGAATAACTCACTCTAGAAACTACAATAATGCGTTTGGTTAGCGATATTGCGCAGGAAGGATAGGCATACAAGCCAGGTAGAAAGACCCCCAAACGCGAGCTACCCAGGCATTCCGAGAGCTACCTTCTCTGACATTCCCAGTACAATAGCCCACAAATGTGTTGTTCGAATATTCAAGTCATTAAAGACTTTTCGTCTTCCTCACAGCTTGATGCTCCAACATCGCAGGGTCTCAGCACTCTGACCACCAACGAAGCACTCACCAACTCCAGTACCACAGGCATAATCCAAAAGCCTCACGCTTCCAACACCAGTATCCTCATCTACCCAATCGACTCCAATGAAATCAAGTCTGGCCCGGATCTCCTCGACGATCCTGTCCAAGGTCTTTGCGTGCTTTGTATCGTAAGCCGCAGCTTCGTTGCTGTTGAAGATGTGGAGTTAGCGTTTGGTCTCTGATTATGAGGCTTTTTGTCCAGAAGAGACCCGCGCGTCTTCATTCATGATTTCTCCTCTCTTGCCTTTCCGCTGTCGAGGGGCGGATGCAAACAAGGCTGAAGATGAAGGCATGCATGGGCAGAGAAATAGCCTGGACCGAGTCACCGACGTGATCCAGCAAAAAGAACCCTGGGTCTCTTACTTGAAGTATTCCTTATTCTGTTCGGAAGCCATGGTGGGTAGTATTGTCGATACCTAGTCAAGGTTAGGTGAGCGTTGTCGACAATGCGCGTGGTAGGGTGTGTCTGAAGTTGTCGTTGAGACGAAGCCGGATTAAGAAGAAAGCGGACACGGTGGAATCGGCATCGCAACGCATGCCCGCAACCCGGGGCCGTTGGAGTCGGGGCGGGTTCTGCCGCCGACCCGCCGGCGTACGGGTTACGTACCGTATGTAAGCTTACGCTAAATTACACATGAATAACGAACAGTGTGGAAAGAACTCATACGAGGGCTTCCGTATTGATGGTACCACATTACACTTCCGTACACTACAAGGGAATGCAATGAGCGGGACGGGAGGTATGGGATGGAAGGCCAAAGCTTCCGACCAAACTTTGTGACGATACAACACCGGCCACCAACAGCTGTGAAATATGGTCACACTTTGGGATTGGCCCGGGAGTGAAAGACTTCGGACTAGAAAGCCCTTCTATCTCGGACTTCTGCGACGGCTTCGGCTTCCAAAACTATCCGACCCCGCGTCCCAAGGACATAGTGTACTGTTTCTTACCCATTAAAATTGACCTTTTTTCTTATCATGTTTCACTTCACCATCATCTACTTGAGGAAGTTATGGTCATAAGCGGCCGACAAACACGCGCAAACTTTCGCAATGTCTTGGCCATTCCCCATCAAACTACAGATGGGCGCCCGACAGTGGTTAAAATGCATCCTATAGTCCACCTATGACATCTCCTGTTCACCATTCCTTTTGTTGCTGTGCCGTAACGGTGCAGCATGCTATAAGACCGGATGATAGAGACCAATAGCAAACAGCTTCGAACCTTCCATGTCATGGCAACGCGCATATGGCATATTACACGCAACCCCAACCCAACTGGCCCGATGGTCTCCTGTCATGGGCCTGCTGATGGGTCAACGATGATGACTGTAGTGTAGTAACAATTTTTTCTACAGGCGCAGTGTTGGCCGGTGCTAGCCCACCAGAGCCTAACTTAACCAATCTTCCCTTCCCTTGCGCGATGTCCCGTAATCTGCGAGCCAGCTTATCCGAAAGAAAAGGCTACGGTTAGAGTAGCCGCTCCTGATCTTATTGGCTACGAGAGAGGAGCATCTGAGAGTGTCAATGCTGGCACTTCAAGCGGGAATGGGGGATGGTAAGCAATTCATGATATAGGCCCTCTCTAACCGACACAGAACCGAATTGCTGAACCGCCCCTCGCGCAAGATATTGCAGGTGAAGATGAATACCTAGGCGACCCCACAAGGGCGCTTGAGGTAGGAAACTGACAGCAGAGAGATGCGGAGCAGAAGGATGTGATAGACTTGGTCGCACAGGGCTACAGCCACCGTTTCCGACCCCGAGAGGCTAAAGTCAAAGCGTAGTAATGAAACGAACACTTTGGCGGGTTGACCAAGGTCTTTGTCCGAAATCAGTCTCCGACGTGCCTGTTTAGCAGTGGTTATAAGGTCAGACTTCTGACCTAGCGACCTCTAGTCACGTACGACGATGTTACCATAGGTATTTCAGGGCGTATGGTAGGAGCTGTAGGTAAGGACAAGGATCCCAACACTCTTGTCATCACAGTGTACACGCTCCTGTACAGTTTTCCGTTCCCACTCTCGACGTGCTTGACCTGGAAAAAAAAGGGACCAAGATCAACGATCATCGCAAGTTTGAAGGGGACGTGTAGCGGAGCTGTGATCCGAATCCATCATCCAATCTTTTGGGCCAAGCAAGAAGCCCCGGACTTGATGTACCAAATCTTACCTAGCAATGGAACCCCCCACCCCCGCCCGACCCGAGTGATCAGACATCAAACAGCAGCTTTTTCTCCAACCATGAAACACAATGGCTGCAGTAGTGTGTGCCGTAGGAGGAGGCAGAGCAAGTTTCGTGCCTTTGACCAGGAACGGCACTCGCGCCTATTCCATCAATCTGTGGTCTTGTGGGATTTCGATAGTCTCTTGCTAACAAGGAGAAACACCGTCATCAGGCTCCACGATCCCGTTTTACTCCACTGTCTGATCTGGGAGAAGTGGAAGCAGCAAGCTGTGGAGATTCTGGAACCCAACAGAGAGATGAACTTTCCGGGGAGAATAGAGGAAAGGGAAGAAATGACGGTAAATGTAAGCTAATATAGTCGGCTGGGTAGTTAGCTCAGGTATGACAGGCTAGGGTGCACATGCCCAGACGGCCAAACCTACAAAAGATAGGACGATGTTCTGCTTGCAAGGCAGAACTTGGAATGCACACTATATAGCTAATGTCAACCTGTGACATCAGGCTTGTCAGCGAGTGCTCACATGACCTGACCCTCTTACATAAGCTTGCCTACCCAAGTGGACATGCCAAGACAAGCCCCACACTTTGAAAAAATTCTCATCTGACTTACGCCCTTTGATATTTTCTTTTTTTATAGAGAAATAATTAACTGCTTATTCAAATCTTTCTATGGAAAAATAATATATTTAAATTTGCGTTTTTTGAAAAGATTTCTATAATTTAAGTACTTTCAACAGCAATAGTTAAATAACTGCGCTCAATATTTCGTTATTATATATGTATATTCCAAAATTATTTTGAATATACTTTTAAACGGTCCTTAATATATTCTTAAAACTATTTAAATATATTACTAGATAGTTTTTAATAAACTTTTGAACTACTCTACATTTTCTCTATAATATTTCATAATAATATTAAAACCGGCTTTTTGACTAGTATTATTAAGTCTGGTTTAACCGAATAAAATAAACCCGCGTTTATTAAACTATCAACAATGAATATATTAGTACTAGCAAACAATTAGGCTCTTAAATTCCATATATTTAACAGATTACAAAATATAACTCCTTTTAATATATTAACAATAACCAAACTTCTTGTAAGTAAACTAACTTACTATTATAATACTATTTTGAAATTTCAATTATACTAATACAAGAACATTTCAATTTATTCTAAAGTCGATAATATAAAACTGACTCTTATTTTGTTTAACGCTTTAACTTTAGATTCTCAATTTTTAAATATAATTTTGTACGTCCGTTCTTATCATTATCTCCTTTCGTCATAGTGAACTTCGTTACTTCTGATTGACTGGTATATTGAGATCCCGCCCTTTCATCTTACGCTTCGGTTGCTTCGAGTATGCGCTGAGTGATTTTTTTTTCATCCTATCTTCAGGGTTCAGGAGTGGAGGAGAGGGGGTTTTACTTGTGGTACTGGATTTCTCCGTTGATTAGCCGGTCGGCTGCTTGTAAGGTGTTGTGAGGCCAAGATTTTTAATGAGAGAGATAACAATTGGTCAATTGGATTTATTAAGGTTTCAATTCCGAGAACCCTTATAGGTTGAATTACTGATACCGTAACTAATATTACTAAGCCCAAGGAAGAGATTTTCTATATATGTCTAGTCACGTGTACTCATGGGTAAGCTAAGGACTAGAGTGAGCCCAACATCATCTTCAACACCTCTTATGACTAGGAAAGCGGGGAAGATTCCATCTGATTTTTAAAGACCGAATGGAAGTAAGGGAAGCAGGATTCAAACCCACGACCTTTCAGATAACACCGAAGATAAACCAAGCTCAGATCTTTCCAACTGAGCTATTCTCCCGAAGGAATAATGTAAAAATATTGATTAAAGTATTAGTATTTAAGATTTTATTTCAATTTTTCGTATAATTTTTCCACTATTAATTATAATATAAATTATAATCTTAACTTTGTATGTTGAATAATTAATTATTAATTATTAAAGTTTCCAAGTATATATAAATCGCCTTACTATTTTCATTAATTTTAGAGAATGTTTAATTATGAGGTAAAGAATTTCGAAGGAATATATATTTAAACCCTTTTGAAAGGATAATGAAGTTAAGGTTTATAAGGTTATTATTGATATATAGTATCTTTTTAATCATATAATATAAAACTAATATATAGTTTAAACTAATATGAGAATTTTAAAGCTTATATATTCTTCAATTAAAAAGAAAAACTTGGTTTCTTCATAACTATTTTATAATTACTTGATTTAATGAAATATTAAAGCGGTCAAAATTGATAATATATTTAATATAAAGATAAATTCGGCGTTTTATTTTATAAATAAAGAGGTGGTAGTTTAGAATTAAGGGGGTATTTATTAAACTTCGAAGCAATTCAAATAATCAATTAGTAATTAAGAGGATATTAAGGAACAATCAAAGAAGGAGGCGGCGACGGAGAATAATAATGAGGCACCGGAGTAGGAGAATAAGCAGGAGGCGGTAGAGTAGGAAGATATTGAAAAATAGTAAGAGGAGAAGTAAAATAAGGAAGCAGCGGAGTAGAAGAATAAGTAGGAGGTAGTAGAATAAAAGGATAAGTAGGAAGTGGCGGAGTAGGAAATGATAGAGTAGGAAAATAAGTAAGAGGCGGCGGAGTGAAAAGCGGCGGAGTAAAAGAATAAGTAAAAGGCGATAAAATAGAAAGATATTAAGAAGGAGTGTCATGGCGCTGGCGGACCACTACATCACTAAGCTATGTTCCAAAAGGATACAAGTAACCGAAGCTGGCAATTCGGTCGCTCAAGTGGTCTTATATAGTTGTGATAGCAGTCGAGAGGCACAACTGCAAGGCTGCTATCAGAAGGAGTAAAATAAAAAGAAGTAAAATAAGGAGTTAGGTGAGTGGAAGAATAAGTGGAAGTGGCGGAGTAGGAGGATGAATAAGAAGCAGCGGAGTAAGAGGGTATTAAAAAGTAGTAAAATAAAAAGTAGTAAAATGAGGAAGAGTAAAATAAGGAAAGATAAAATGAAGAAAAGTTAGAAGTGGGTATAAAAGCCGATTTTATAAATATTCCATTTTAAAAAAACGGTATAGTAAATATCGGAATTTTATACGTTATGAATATTTTTGAAACGCTGATAATTAATTATAGTTCATTGAAAATTATTTATTAATGTATCAAAAAACAATTAAGTAGTATCTAAATATTGCTTTTTAATTAAATTCAATTATGTAGTGTATAAATTGCTCAAGAATACGTACATAGTATGTTGTATTTGTTCATAATCCTCCCCTTCTTTATTAATTGTTAATTTATATGTTTTTTTCTTATTTAGTTTAAGTACAATAAATATATTTATTTTATTTGGGGAAAATTCTATTAATATTGAAATAACTTTACTAATACCGAGTTTACAACGTAAAATATAATAGTTATTTTTTAAATCCGGATATTAGGTCAAATAGCATAAAAATGTTTTGGAAATTAATTAAAGGTAGTTTAAATTGGTATATTTCAGGAATAATTTAAAATTGATTTGAAGGTATTTTAGAATTACTTTAAGAGTACCCCAAAAGTATTTAAATAAAGCGTAGAGAAAATATATTATTATTGGTCTTATATACGCTAACTATTTACATAGTCTAC